CCATCCACGTTGTTGCAAATGGCAAGATCTCATTCCTTTTGATGGCTGCATAATATTCCATTGTGTATATATGCCACATCTTCTTTATCCATTCATCTGTCGATGGACATCTTGGCTCTTTCCACAGTTTGGCTATTGTGGACATTGCTTGCAGAAGCATTTATTCACTGTCCACTCTGTAGAAATGTCACTCACTGTCACTTTACTTGTCTTGCTGTCACCATGTTACAAGTTAACATCTACTAAAACTTTTGATTCAGTTTGATGGAAGGTTACACGCATAAAGTGTCATTCTTGTGAAACTGGAAATGAACACCCCCTCAACCTGATTTTCGGGAGATATTGAAGAGATGGACTACCATCTCATTCTCTAAAAAATAAAGTCATTTTGCATGAGTCTTAGAAAAAACATCTCAGATGTATACCATTTGGCCCAACTGTTCGTTAAGAACATTATTTGGAATGGGACTGAATGTGTAGGATTTGGAAGTCATGATTATAGGCCGGCTATATACTGTTGGAAAATTTCATCAAAATATTTATTAAATCCTGTACATATGGTTCCATTCTGAGGCATGCATGACCATCACCTAAAAGCCCAGCTGACAGAGAGATAGTCCAGACCCAGCTGCTGATTTCTGTGAGAGCTGGGGTCTCCAAGGACCTGTTTCAACGATACTTAAAATGTTTTCCAACATGGCTAAGGAAGGTCTATTTCAGATCGTTAAAGAGGATGGATAAAATTAGAATCGTGCCTCAGTAATATAGGTATCATGACTCTTGAACAATGGTACTGGCTGTTTCAGTTGAGATATTTTTCAAAGACATATATGATCATTGCTGAATGCATTCAGAGGAGACAGGCTATTTTTCTTCGTGAAGCTCACATTTCTTATGAAGAAGACACAGTGAGTTTTGCAATGGCTTTGGCTCTGAAATACAGAGGGATAATAAGTAATGATTGAAAAACTACCTTATAAAATCTGAATCAGTAAGCTTCTTTAATTATTTGAAGGTAAGTTCTCATAGGATGAGCATGTTTTAGAGAAGCAAACAGCAATCCTCAAAGAAAGAATGTGATGATTGGAATCATGTGACAGCTATATATGTGTGCAAGACTGTGTAACACTTTGTTTAGATGAGTTATATGCTTAAGTGGCAGTAGGATGGAGACATGTTCTATTTGTGAAGTTTATTTCCTGAGTTATAGAGTCTTCCTATTTTTTGTTAGGAAAGAAAGCTAGTTAACTGAGATAGTATAAAGAGACTAGAACTCTTTATCTTAAGGAATGTAGCTATCCTTACCTTTTGGTAAATGACATGAAGTGTCATTTGACATGGAAGCGTTTACTGTTACAACCTAGATTTTTTGTTTGTGTGTTTTTATTTTGTTTTTTAAGTAGGCTCCATGCCCAGGGTGGGGCTTGAGCTCAAGACCCTGAGATCAAGAGTTGCATATGCTCTACTGACTGAGCCAGCCAGGCGCCCCTAACCTAGATTTTTTTTTTTTTAATGAAAGTAGAAAAATAATTTTGATGTAATCATCTCCGTAGATAAAGGTATATGATAGATTATTTCTGAATTCAAATTCATCCTTATAGTTTATACCAGGATGACTCTTTTGACTAAAAAGTTGTCTTTTTATTCTTGATTATATATAAACTTCATGTTGGTTTAATAAGATTTATTCTTTAGCAAAGAAAGCTTCTGGCTCTTTAGCAAGTTAGGTAAGTTAGACAAAGGTGGAGTAAGCACAACTTCTCTAGAAAATGTTTGTTCTTTATTGCTCTTCTCCTCTTTCAAATCAGGCTTACTAACAACCACCTGTCCTTTGGACTATGAAATAAAAGCTCAGCACATTCTGACCCTTCTGGCACTGGATGACGGCATACCAGCACTTTCTTCATCCCAGACTTTGACGATTACTGTTCTTGACGTAAATGATGAGGCACCCGTGTTTCAGCAGAACCTGTATGAAGCTTCAGTTAAAGAAAACCAAAATCCAGGGCAGTTTGTCACAAGGGTTGAAGCTATGGACAAAGATTCAGGTAATTTAAAAATATGGAAACTTGGTAATTAATGCTAAAAACAAAAATTCGCATACTTGAAACTAGTTATGGCCCAGAAAATGAAGACAATTGCTAGTTATTTCAAACTTCTAATACTGCTGTAAATAGCATACACACAAAAACACATACACAGGTAAAGGTAATGTGTGCTTTTTTTAAAAAACAAAAAAAGATCTATCTGTTTATTTCAGAGACAGAGAGAGAGTGTGTGCAATCGGGGAAAGGGGCAGAGGTAGAGGGAGAGAATCTCAAGCAGGCTCCCCACTGAGCTAGGAGCCCAATGCCTCAACCAAACGACTGAGCCACCTAGGCACCCCTCGATAATGTGTGCTTTTATATGGCATTTGTTTCTATTGATTTATATTATTATTTTTGGTAGAATGATATATACCTAGTTAACATAATTTTTATTTGATCTTGATAATAAACCGCAGTATAGACAAAGTATCACATTTTTTTCAGAGTGTAATGGTTAGATACACCACATATGAAATGGTAAATGGATCTGTATTTCCTCTCTATACAGTATAATGAGAGAGAGAGGATGCTGGGTGTGAATCCTAGAACTATCCTTTACTTCAGCTGTGTAACTTTGAACAAGTAGCTAATTCTCTCTCTTCCTCTGCTTATCTGGAAAATGGGGATAATGATAGGGCCTAAATTCTAGTTATGTTATGAGAATGAATGAGTTATTATGTGTAAAGAGCTAAGACTGGCATAATCAGTGGTCAATAAAGGTCAATTTCTGTCATTACTATTATTATTCTTATTAATGTCAGCCATTGTGTCCAGACAAATAACTTTGAAGTGAATAGTTATTATAGCTGGGAATTTGTTAGTGTCTTAGAGTTCCTTTTCAATATCACTGTGACTTTTTTGGTATTTAAGGTCCAGTAACTTTAATAATATTGTTTATATTTTAAACAAAATAACTCTGAAAATTATGGTGAAGTATTTGCCCTTGAGAGCATATGCCCATTTTCCCATCCAAGTTAATACAAATAGTTTAATAAGCCAGTTTTTTTTTTTACCTCATGTATATATATTCTTTTTATTGTATGAGTTTCAGGTGTACATTATAATCTGACATCGGTATACCCTACAAAGTGTTCACCCCCAAAATCTAGTTACCATCTATCACTCTACAATTGGTCTTGTTTTCCTCTTTCACACATACCCCTGCTCCCTATTCTCTGTATCTGTGAGTTTATCTTTGTTTCGTTTTTGTTGGTTTGTTTTGTTTTGTTTTCAGATTCCACATATGACTAAGTCAAATGGTATCTGTCTTTCTCCTTCTGACTTATTTCACTTAGCGTAGTATCCTCAAGGTCCATCCATGTTGTTGCAAATGGCAAGATATCATTCTTTTTTATGGCTGAGTAATATTCCATTTCACATTCTACATCTTTGTCCATTCATCCACTGATAGACATATAGGTTGTGTATATATCTTGGTTATTGTAAATAATGCTGCAGTGAACATAGGGATATATATGTCCTTTTAAGTTAATATTTTCATTATCTTTGGATAAATACCCAGTAGTGGAATATCTAGGTCATCTGGTAGTCCTGTTTTTAATTTTTTGAGGAACCTCCATACTGTTTTCCACAGTGGCTGCACCAGTTTGCATTCCCACCAACAGTGCACGAGGGTTTTCTTCTCTCCACATCCTCTCCAACACTTGTTATTTTTTGTCTTTTTGATAATAGCCATTCTAATGAATGTGAGGTGACATATCACTGTGGTTCGGGTTTGCATTTCCCTAATAATTAGTGATGTTGAACATCTTTTCATGTGCCTGTTGGCATCTGTATGTTTTCTTTGGAAAAATGTTTATTCAGATCCTCTGCCCTTTTTAAAATCAGGTTGTTTATTTTTTGTTGTTGAGTTGTATGAAGTTTTCTTTAAAGATTTATTTATTTATTTTAGAGAGAGAGAGAGAGAGCGAGCACAAGCAGGGGGAGGGGGAGAGGGAGAGAGAGAGAGAGAGAGAGAATCACGAGCAGACTCCCCACTGAGCAGGGAGCCCGGCACGGTGCTTGATATCATGACCCTGAGATCTTGACCTGAGCCAAAACCAAGCGTCAGACACTTAACAGACTGTGCCACCAATTCATCCCTGTATGAATTCTTTATATATCTTTGATATTAACCTCTATCAAATGCATACTTTACAAATATCTTCTCCTATTCAGGAGGGTTTTTTTTAATGATGGTTTCCTTTGATATGCAGAAGCTTTTTAGTTTGATATATTCCCATTTGTTTGTTTTTGCTTTTGCTTCCCTTGACTTTGGAGTCTGATTCACAAAAACATCACTAGACCAATGTCACAAAGCTTACCGCCTGTGTTTTCTTCTAGGAATGTTATGGTTTCAGGTTTTACATTCAAGTGTTTAATTCATTTTGAGTTAATTTCTGTGTATGGTGTAAGATAGTGGTTCAGTTTCATTCTTTTGCTTGCAACTGACCAGTTTCCTCAACACCATTTATTGAAGAAACTGTTCTTTCTCCACTGTATGTTCTTAGCTTCTTTTTCATAAATTAATTGCCCATATATGTGTGGGTTTATTTCTGGGCTCTCAATTCTGTTCCATTGATCTCTGTGTGTTTTTATCCTGGTACCGTACTGTTTTGGTAACCATAGCTTTGTAGTGTAGTTTGAAATCAGGGGCCACAATACCTCTAGCTTTGTTCTTTCTCAAGATTGTTTTAGCTATTTGGGATCTTTTGTGATTCCATACGAATTTTAGAGTTATTTGTTCTAGTTCTATGAAATATGCCATTGGAGTTTTGATAGGGATAGCCCTGAATCTGTGGATTGCTTTGGATAGTATAGACATATTAACAATATTAATTCTTCCAATCCGTGAACAAGCCAATCTTTCAAATTTCACATTTGTGTATAGAAGTAGCATTACATAATCAGTATAATTTTTCTTTACAAGAATTGTAATAGATGTGCCCACGGAAATAACAGTATTAACAGTAGCATTTTCTTCCTAAATCGTTCATCTAAGGGGTAATAGATAGATTTCCTTGAGCTTTTATACTACACTATATGCCATTTTAGATGCTTTGCCCTTTTGGAAAACATCATCTTCTAATGAAATGCATTTTACATAAATTTGTATATGATGCTACAAAAATTTTCTTTTCAAAGACTAGCCTAATTTTCTCTCTTTTGACCAGAATGGGGCAGTATGATCACAAAATTTTTCTCACCATGTTCAAAGACACATGACTGGAGTGTGGTAACAATTGCTCCTCCCAACTTGTACTTACAGAATTTATTTAGCACATTTCTGGCAGGATAGTTTTAAGGGTGATAGAAACAATGGAGAATATACATCAGCTTTGTGTTTCACAATAGTTCAATAAAGTTCTCTTAGAGCACTCTCTGGTTTAAATTGAGCAACATAGGGCTCTGGGCAACACAGAAACTACTTCTCAAAGTTCACAGACATATGCTGAACCTGCCACTGATGTGGATCAGTGCAACAGTTACTTATTAGCAATTATTAAAATTTGTAAAATGCTTCCTCCCCTTGACCTTACTTTATCTTATTAATTTTATTTTTGGTAATAGGCACTCCTAAGGAATCTCTCGTTTTAATGTCTGAAGAGAGAGAAAAGCATTTCTCTCAAATATTTGCACATATCAACTAAAGATGATTACCGTAAATATGCATTCTGATTTTTACTGTCAAGGTGCCCCTAGTGTCAGTGTTATTTTCTTTTAGAATGACCAGTCTGCAACCTGTTAGTTAAATTGAATTGAAGAGTTCAGTATTCTAGAGATTATGTTTGCCTGATGGAGAGTTTAGATGCAAAATTATTGTTTTGCTGGCTTTGCATTTATGGATGTTTGAAATACACATCAGCATCTTCAAGAGTCTCATGCACTTATGCACATTGTGGAGACAATTTGGGTTTACTGTTAATCTCAGTGTTTTTAATGAGGCCAGATCAATTAAGCAAGTGCTTTTGAATACATTTTCCCTCAATCTTTTGTTGTTGTTTTGTTTTTTATATTTGCTTCTTGGGTTAAAACAATGAAAAGAATTATGCATAAGAATTAAATGTCACATCAAGATTTTTAACATAACTGGCATCACACTGGAATTTGTGAATGGTTTATTTTGTAGTTATGTATTTTTAAAAAATACTATAGCATTACTTAATATCAGAAAGCTGAACATATATTTTCTAGCATTCTAAGTGCAGTTTTTAAAATCGTAAGCCTACAGTGTTGTTTGGCATTCAAAACCCATGGGACTTCGAACATGGCGTGTTTATGATGTATGACTCACACTAGTTCCAACAGCAGTTTTTTCACGGATTAAAAGGGAAAAACAACTACAGGTTTTAACTAAGATATTAAAACTGCTACAGCTTTTGGTACCACCAACAAGAGTTCTATTGTCAGTGAGAAAAGATTTATCCCCAGGGTGCACCTCCACCAGTCCCCAGAGAAAGGGCGCCTCACCAGGGAAGATGACTCACTCCCTGCTGATGTATTTGCTCAATAATGGTGAATACAAAATAATTTAACAGCACATTGCCCTGCAAAAAGTGTCAAATTCTACAATGAGATCTTATTGTCTATTCCATAAAAAAATGTACAGTTGACCAATCTGAGGTTCTGGGGTGCCGACTGCCCCTCCCACAGTCAAAAATCCACGTTTAACTTTTGACTCTCCAAAAACTGAACCATTGATAGCCTACAGTTGGCCAGAAGACTTAGGGATAACATAAACAGTCAATGAACACATACTTTGTATGTTATATGTATTATATATTGTCTTCTCACTCTCTCTCTCTTTTTTTTTTTAGATAGAGAGAGAGAGAGAGTGGGGGAGGGGGAGAGGAAGAGAATCTCAAGCAGACTCTCCACTGAGCACTGGGCGCAGAAGGTGGCGGGCAGGAGGTCTTGATCTCATCACCACCCCCGAGATCATGACCTGAGCCAAAATAAAG